CGAATCAGCCTCCACCCTCCTCTGCACCGAGCCATCATCGCCCCCTCGCACGCCTAGCCTAGCTGCACCAGCCTTGCACCTAGGCCCCTGCATCCTTGCCCCAGATCCCCTGCTTGCTGCGCCTGCACGCTTCTGCTCCTGCACGCTTCTGCTCCTGCACTCCGTGCCCAACGCCTGCACTTTCCCCTTTGCAGCTCTGCGCCCCTGCTGCACTGAGCCTGCGCCTGGATCACGCCCAGATTTCCTTGCTCTGCGCCCCCTGCTGCGTTGACGCTGCTGCTGCGCCTTTGTCCTTGCAGCCAACCGAGCATGAGACAGACCTGCACCATGTCCTTGCCTCACCTGCAGGATGGCATCACGCTCCAGCTTTCTTGGCTGTTCTGCAGGGCTAGTTTTGGCCTCACCCGATCAACGGTGGAAGGAAAAAGAAGAAAAATTGAAGGGTTTGGATGAGGAGAGAAGAAGGGAGTTAGGGTTTTGTTTGATTGGGTATAAATAGGAAGAACCGGTAAATTGAAAAAGGGGTTTTGGGTTGATTTTGGGTCTGTTTGCTGGGGAGTCTCGTCTGAGTTTTTTGAGAGCAGAAGAAGGAAATTCTGAGGAGAAGAGGGGGGTCTTTTGCTGGTTGATTTTCGAGTTTAGTTTGAAAAGAAGATTGATTCTGCTCGCTGGAGGTGGGAAAACAAAAGGGTATTCTTGCTTTAGGTAATCTCCTGAACAGAGGGATTTTTGGGAAGGATAGTGAAGGAGACGAACGGAGCCTGGTCCCGTGGGTGGGATCCCTCCCTTCCGATCTGGATCTACCTCCTAAAAATTCCACCGTGGGTGTTTTTGTTATTTTCTGTTGATTTTGTTTAGATCTGTGTTTAAGTTTGTATGTGTTTCGTTGGAAAATGAATGAAAAATCAAAAAAAATTGTTCAGTTCATTTTGTCTGATGAGTGTGCCTTTTTTTTGTGTTGGTGAATAAGATTTTTCTGTTATGATGAATGTGTTCTTCCTTTAAACTGATGAACTTGCAAGTTTTATTTTTGTGGGTTTGATCTGTTTTTCTTTATTTTAAATAGCGGGTTGTGTTTCTGGATGGGTCAACCTAATCCAACAAAAAAAAAAAAACTAAAAAGGGTTAAAAAGTAAAAAAATTTTAATTTGTGAATAATAAAATTAATTAACTTTAATTAAAATAAATTAATCATGTTTATTGATTTTGATTTGAGATTATTAGTTATACTTAATGATTTTAATTAAAAGTTGATAAATATAATATAATTAATTTTAATTAGTGTCAAATTAATCATTTAATTAATTAATTTCCTCTAATCTTGGTCAAAAGTCAAAATTATCTTCTTTTTTTTTTTTCATTTTAATTTCACTCAAAAGTTTCATGTTTAAGCACTTTAATCCAAAAGTTTCAAACCTTTTCAAATCAGTCCTCTATTTTTATTTTAATCAAATCAGTTCCTTTAGTTTTTACTTGTGTTCATTGTGCATGCATGTCTTTGATTTTGTCCATTTAGTCTAAAAATTCAAAAAATATTTTAATTTGGTTTATCCTTTTTCACGCTTGCCTATTAAGACCCAAATATAAACATAATAAATAAGTTGAATTAAAAACCCCAATGTTAAAGTATGCAACCGTGTTTAAATGGAGGATTGTGAGATGCGTATATGCCCTTCCTCACTCCTAACTGAACCCTCGAACCCCGATTTCTGTGCAAACTCATTTTAGGTGACTTGTCCCACCTTATAATTTGGATGAGTGGCGACTCCCCTTTTCTTTAATATTTTCACACTTAATCCCTCTTAAGTGGTCGTCAACAGTTTGGCAACTCCACTGGGGAAGAAACCCAAAATCTCTGGCTTCCATATTCTGGGTTCATGAGGGTCGAGCTAACACTTTTAACTTTGGGGAATCTTCAACTTTTGATTTTTCTTTATTTGTTGAGTCTTTGTGGGTCTTTGTTATTTATTGTATGTGCTTGTTCCATGTTGTTTGTTGCTTATTGCTTGTTTGCTCATTGTTTTAGTCGTTACTTTGATTGTTTTGTCTTTGAGTAGTTATCTTGCTATATCTTGACATGCATCATACCTTGCTCACATGTTCATGCATCATATCATCTCACATGCTCATCCATCATTGATATTATATGCTTATTCATCATGCATCATGCTTGCATGCCTACTTGCTTATATGTGGATGTACTAACTTTTTGCATTTGGCATGAGAGTACGAGGTGAGTCCCTTCTTGCTGTGTAAGTAGATTTTGTTTGTGGGTGATATAGTTGTTGAGTGCTTTACATGTTTTATTTGCTTGTTTGCTTTATCTACTTGTTGTGGGATATGTGTTGCTATTTTTGTGGTTGCCATTGTGCAAGTTATCGGAGTTATCGGAGTGTCATGCCCCTTGCACACACTCACTCTCATTTTGCATTAGGTCCGTGTCGGAGGTGAACCCGACCTCTAGTCTGGAATCCTTACAAATCTGGCTTGGAAGAGCAATTCTTCCTGCTTTGAGGAGTAAGATCGGTTCTCGTTAGGTTGTTTCCATTGGTTAATATGACACCTAACGATGTAATATCGTCCTGTGTATTAGCTTTTGGAAATATCTCCCATTGATTCCGAAAGGATACATGGTTGAGAAGGCCTAATGCCCTTTAGGAAAACATATAGTGGCCTTAGAGACATACCAACCCTAAGACTTGTTTCTCTTAGCATCCCACCCGTGAGGTTAGGGATCACGTGTCTAAGACACAAGGGGCATTTTACTTCACTAACCTTGTCTCCGCATATGATAGGTTTTTGTTCTTATATACATTTGAGGTATGATTAGTTATTCATCTTCTGCATTTAGACATCATTATGGAGGTTAGGTGCATTCCATACACTTCGTATCTTCATGTTCAACCCCATACCCTGTTAAAAAAAGAAAAAAGAAGAAAAAGTTAATGCTTGTTTCACATGTCATATGTCCATCCCATTCATTTCACATTAAATCTTCCATGTGTCTTGAAAGTTTCACGTATGTCCATTGTATTGCATTTTCCATCTCATGCATCACAAAATATGTTTTTATGTTCGTCTTGTGGGGCATTCTTTATCATACTCCTTTTAAATCCCATTTTTCATCTCATATTGCACAAAAATTTACAAAAAATGAAATTCCACTCATGTTCATTACATTACATTTTCCATCTCATATAAAAATTGCATAAAAAAAAATCACATTCAAATGCATTTCATATTGCATTTTCTATTTCAAATTTTCATTCCAAGCATTATTATCTCTATCTTATATTTCCCATATTTCATAAAAGTTGCAAAAAAAAAAAAAATAAATAAATAAAAAAAATAAAAAATAAAAGAAAAATTGTGAAAATGAAAAAAAAAATGAAAATTTTATCCATAATGCTAGTTTTCCTCTCATATTTCTTCATCTTTTTACATTTCGAAAAAAAAAAAAAAAAAGGGCATGAAAATGAAAATTTCTCCCATGTTCATTTCACATCTCACTTTTCATCACATATTTCATTCCAACCACCACTATTTCCATCTCATAGTTCAAAAAACAAGTGCATAAAAATGAAAATGAAAATTTCATTCACTTGCAGTTTGCATTGCATCTTCCATCTTACATTTCATTTCAAGCATTACTATCTTTTATTGTCTTATACTTTATAAAAATTGCATAAAAAAAAAAAAAATCTTATCCATGTTCAATTCTCATTCAATCCCATTTTTCATTGCAACTCATATTCAACCTTACATCACATTTTCCATCCCATGTCAAATTTACATTCATTTCATGCTCATTTCATGTTTAGAATAAAATCAAATTTGATCCTCATACTTTCTTGTTCTTCAATCAAGTCCTTTAAGTCATGATTTTCAAAAAAAAAAAAAGAGTGTACAAGCTCTCATTCGAAGAAGTTCTCACTATCTTGCATTTTGTTACATGTTTCAAACTTGTGGGTCTTATTCAACTAAATCCAAAGCATTTCACATTAAAAAAAAAAAAAAAGAAACAAAAAAAAGAAGAAATGAGGTTCTTTAAAGATAAATTCATGAAAAGTCCATCTTTTAGACATCAAAATAATTTGAGCACATGATTTTGAAGCATCACATCATTCATTTTCTCCAAGCATCACACCATTTACTTTTTCTTCAAGCTTCATAACATTTGCTTTCTTTTCGAAGGAATGATATTTCCTATGAATGCCAATTTAATGGGTTGCAATAGTGAATCATCAACTGCTCCTTTAAAACTTGCTTGGCATACTTAATGAAGAAAAACCATGTTTATGATACAACTTCACACACATTATCACTTTAGAGCATATTTATGTTCTTGCATACTTTATTTCTTGTTTGGCATCCATGTTTATTTCTTCTATTGTACTCCCATAATCTTGTTTGATTCTTTGCCTTCAACAATTGAAATATGGATTCATACATGGTTAAGCGCGATTGTTCATTCGGCAAGACACCTTCGAAATGTTCATCCATGGAGAAGGTTTTGACCAACAAAGGATTGAGGAGATCTCCAATTGCAAGCATTTCTCTCCTATCATTCACAATTGCCAAGTCCAGGGGGCAAGCTTAGAAAGACAAGAACCAAGAGTAGCTTTGAAGATTAAAAGCTCAAGCACATTGCACTTTATATGGCTCTAGCAATCAAGGGATTCTCCAAGGAAAGGAGTGCAACTACTCATTGAACAATTGTACTTTGAAAGATCTAGGAGTCAGATTTTACTAGGGACTTGAATGCTACCATGTTGATGTACTTAGTGTGATGTACTAGACATTTACACTGTAATGAATGACCATCTTTGTAATGCATGTTGAACTGCTTGTAAGTGTCTTTTCTATAGCCCTTGGAGTCTATGGAAATCTCAAGGCGTTCAAAGATATTTTACTTCATCTGAGGCTCCTTAAGGATTAGAAATCGACAATGTGTGAATCCATATAGCAATTGTTGAAACACTAAATCATGCAAAATTATGGGGTGACTTCTAACATTGTTCTGACTTTGTTTATTTTTCTTTTACTTTTTGTTTGCAGGTAGGTATCATAAACTACTTCAAGAACAAAAAAAAAAAAAAAAATCAAGCTTGATAGTCTCCTTATGTTTTCTTTATCTTTGGAGCAATGCATCATCCATCTAGAAGGCGGCCTCAACATAAGCTCACCAAGATATGATGTCGAAGTGGACATACACATGAGACATGTGGATCTAGATTCAATGAATGAGAAGCAAATGTAGGACATGGGGAAACTTGAGTATTATTGCTCTTAAGGATGAACCCTTGTTTGACATGACCATTACTTCTGCCTTGGGGGCACTTTGGCCAATTAGACAGTCAAGCTTTTCTTTGCTTCATTCATCCATGAGTGGGATGAGTCAGCTTTCTAGTAGCTTAACAAGCTCTTTTATATTCTCTGAAATATTTTCTATCATGCTAATTAGTTTTCCCAGTCTTTACAATTTAGTAACATATGTTGCCATATTGTCATCTTTCAAACTTGATGCAACTCTTCTTGATGCCATTAATGTGCTCAAAAGAAAAAAATCAAAAAAACAAAAAAGAACAAAAAGTTTACTTGCATATATGTGCTTTCCTCACATGCTATTGCTTATCCATGTTTCTTTTTGCTTTCAAGCTTTGCTAATGATGAACCTGAATACAATGATGCCATTTAAGGATTGGTATATGGTTCAAATGATCCAAATCCATGTCGAGGAAGATGTTGGTGATCTAGATTCCTCCCATGAACTAATTGAAATGTTGCAAAATCAAAGGCCAAAGTTGCAGTCAAATGTGATAGACTCATACAAGAAAGAAAAAAAAAGAGAAAGAGAGAGAGAATAAGGAAATCCTGCTAACTTAAGTTGAATTATTGTCATCATTTTGAGGTCTAAAGTGAAAAGCTCAAGGATCAAAGGCCATCTTTCATGAGCCTAATTTCCAAACACTTTACCTAAAAGAGCCATCCTTTCGTCAACCAAGTTGAGCCTAAAAAGAAAAAGTGAGCTTCTTCTTTCGTACCTATCCCAAAACTTGGGAATATAGTTACATGCCTAATTGGGGAAAGAACATATTGCTAAAAGCCATGAAGATAAATCTCAAAAGAGGGGCAAGGTTCAAAGAGAGCAAAAGCTCAAACAAAAAAAAAAGAAAAAGAAAAAGAAAAGAGAAATGGTAATGCAAATGTCACATGGCAAGGGTTGAAATGAAAAGCTCTTAGCTGAGGCATGTAACTTGAGGGGCATGTTGGGTAATTTTGAGCCTTTAATTTCCATTCTTTTCATAAAAACCTTAACCAAACCCCATTACAACCCAAGGAAAAGTCCTTTTTGAGGGTTTTAAAGCTTTAGAAATCAAAATGATGGCAATTATTAAACTAAGAATAGCAAATCATGATCAAATTCAAGAGCTAATAGATTCAATGATGAGAGGCCCTGCCTGAACACTTTACATTGTCCTTAGTCACCCCTTTGAGCCTAAAGAAAAGATAATCATCCAAATTATGAGAGCCAAGATGATTTTCTTGTGAATTTACCTACATCATGAACC